TTGTTTGTAAATTTTCGTGATGGTTGGGTGGCCCTGTGAGGACCATTTTGACGTCAGGACGCGTCGAATTTGCGGGTGGGATGGGGGGCCAAGTGCCAGCCTCTGCGGAGGACTGGGGAGGCATGAGTGAGTGAGGCATGTGGCAGTGAGAGGTCGTAGATGGTATACAAAAGCGCTGGTTTCAAGGGCTGTGAATATTAGGCAGCCAAAAGTGTCGTTGAAAATGTGTTTTTCTAAGCGATTGTTAAGAGAAGACTCAAGCTCCCTTTGAAGTGTGGATAGTGTCAATTGCACACCACGATAATAAACACAATAAAAATAGGGTCCTAGAACACGAATCTTCGGTTCTCCCGATAGATATCTACCTGAAACAAAGGAGGGTCCAACATGGCAGACTATCAGAAGGACTACCAGTGAGGAGATCGATACTATCTGTGTAACGGCTGGTAAGCCGATTGGTCCCTGTAGCCTATGTTGGTTAACTTAGGCCTGATTCGAGTGGCGTTATTGATGGCTACCAATGCGCTAATATGCGACGCCACCCAATACAATACTTTTGCGCCGGCATTTGCATGGTATTCACATGGCATCGGACTCGGCAGTGCGGCACGGCAGTACGGCACGGCAGTACGGCACTGCACCACATGTTGATAGGCTTACACTGACTGGGAATATACGAGACCGAGTACAATCCTTCCGGACCATAACGCAATAGTGCTGTATTACAGGCATAGTCAGAACACTAGGGGAGTCCCATAGCATAGGAACAGGAGAGGGATTAGCCTTGGTGGCGAGGAGGCTTTCACGTATATAAATGAATAGATAGATGTAGTGGAAGTTCTCTCCTTAGAATTATTATTTACTACCATCGACCACATAGTTGCCCCAGCACTTGTCCCTCGAAACCGTGACAATCTGCGTGCAGCAAAGTCAAGCAGACCACAAGGGGAACCGAGAACAGGTACGCCAAGAATCAAAGCAAGACATTGAAGAATGGACCAGAATTTGTGGCCTGGAGAATGCGAAAAGGTGATAAAAAGAAGCCAGTAAGGTGGCAGCGTTATAGGAGTGGAAAAACTCATGGATACATCCAAGGAACGAGATTCTATCTGGTCATCGAGCTTCGGCAAACCCTGAACATTGGAAAGCCGCAAATATTATTACAGATAAGACAACAGGCAGAAAATGGAATACATATAGAAACACACCCTCAAATATCTACCAGAACCTCAGTAGGGCCCAAAGCAGTATTGCAGTTCAGATAAGAAGTGAGCACATTGGTCTCAATTCTTACTTGTATCGAAGGAAAGTCCCCGGAGTGATTAATCCAAAATACCAGTGTGGATATCCGTCTCAGAATGTCAAACATATGATCTTGGCGTGTCCTTAGTGGGCAATGGGAAGAGAAGAAGTGCTTCGAAAGGCAAAAGATGGGTGATTTGTGGCATTGATGAACAGCCCAGATGATATAGAGAAAATCACAAAATGGATCCTGGCGAAAGGCTGGTTTGAACAATTCCGGCTTGCGGGAGAAGTAGAAATAGCATTGGACGAATATATGAGACTATGTGGACAGGGATAAGACGAATTTCTCACTGTATAAACAGTGTAAATGCACTTCCTGTAGGTAACCTCAGAAAACAAATAGACACGAGACAGACAGTTGTGGGTGGCTTTAACCGAATTTGGTTTCCTCCTATGTAAATGTTATAGCTAGATATTCCTGCATCGGCCCATAGAGTAGCTGAATGGGCTAAGTAAAAGGAAATCGAAAACAAAATAAAAACAAAACTATCATGGCAAGAGTAATGATAAACATCACATGAAACTTTCCATCATGGAAATGCACCAATAAAACAGAGCTAAGCCCTCGGTGTTTGTCACTGAAAATACGTGGTACGTCGATCCGGAAGGCAATAAGAGACGAGAAGAGTGCTTTGAGAGATTAGCTGGCCCTAGAAAAGAAGGAAATGGCATTAGCAGACGGTGTTCATATTTGTATCCTGTTGTGAAGGAGTTGCTCACGAGATTCGAGTACCAGTACTTGCCTTGAAACAAACCCCTACGCTGATTTATCGACTGTCATTAGCTTTCATGGTACGAACAGGGTCGCCAATCTCCCTCGATTTGATCAAAAACTCGGTTGTGGGGGTATTCCATAGCTGGTTGGATCAAGTAGCGAATGGTTTCTGGTCACAGACATGAAGTTTTAGTGATGGCAAGGTCATAGGAAGGGAAACTAACCTCCATTAAGTCCTTCCCGGGTAAATCGGTGTGCTGAGTATTGCTCCCCATTCGGCCCCCTAGGCTCATTAGTTTCCGCAGCCGTATAATACTTTCTGTTTTCCTGTTGATGAATTTCTGATATATATATTTTATGATCCTGACTGCATAAGAAGTGTGCATTAGGTCCAAAAGCTGCCGCTAACAGTTGAAGACCAGAAAATGCGGCCAAGGAAGCAGCGCTCAGAAACTTCATTTCGAGAATACCGTCTCAAGGAACAGGACTCTGCACTCGGAATAGCAAGCCAATCGATATTATGGGAGAGGCTTAATGGATGATCGATGATAAGATATCAAAGTGTTTACGATGGAGATGTGTTGATAGTTTTCAGTGCCAATATTTCTGTCGATGAAGTCAAAGGAAGGTTTCGCGATTATCTGGGTGATGCAAGCTGTTAGCAAAGACTTTGTATTTATATATTTGAGGACTCTATTCTTAGCAAATCAAATTTTACCCTTTGAAATAATTTTCGCCGAAATTCGTGTGTCCAATTCCATGATAAGCTTTGCCAAGTCCTGCATAAAAGACATACATTTGAATAGTTATTTGACTCATGCCATCTGAATTTCACCATTGAACGTGAGTGATTTTCCATCAGCTTGGTAATAGACTTGGCCTATCTATCTTCTGGGATTTAGCAAGTTCAGCATCTCTCGGCCGTGTCCCCAGCTTTTGCTGTAGAGCTGAGATTGAGCATCAATTCGCTCCTATTTTGGATGAGGAATCCCAAACACCCTCGCCCTCGCCGTCATGTTCGTCTTCAAAGAATTGCTTGTTCAAATTTTTAGAAGGAGTGCAATATATTGTTAGATTTTCGTATCTTCTCAGCATTATATCTTGTCTACATTCCATCGTACGTATCTTGTTTATATCTTGTCCCCTGACTTCTATCTTGTATACCCTCTCGCCCTGTAACATGGTGGATCTGAAATCTTTGAGGTGGATTCATTTTACGAACGTTTCAGGACGCCAAGACTACGATTTCCGTTCATGAGCCCGGAGGACTTCTATTTTCGATGAGCACAGGGCACTCTTAAGTCCCCAAAATACCACTACTAATTTCGGTTAAGCTGCTTTACAGCAACCAAAGTCTATCCACACTTATCTAGTATTATAACACGGACTTCAGGAAGGAGTGGAAAGGAGGCTACAAAGGCAGTGCGTGGATTTTATTGGTTTCTCATGAGTCAGTCGAGCCTAACGGTTTTTCCAATTTCCCAATCTACCATAAGCCCGCAAATATTCATCGATTGATTGATGGAGAGGAGTGACAAGAAAGTGAAAAGGGACTCTCTCTATATTATCAAATGAGTACCAGTTTGGGAATATGTAGAAGAACCATATGAGGGAGATTATACCACGAGCTAGCTGTGATTGACCTGTACAAAGAGAGGACCAGCATGTCCAATGCAATCAACGGTCGAGGACGGGCGATAACTTTAAGGGAAATAACGATGTCGATTTAGTAGTCTATCTAACAAACAAATGATACTTTAAAATAAGAAACGCTGCTTGTTCCCCCAGTAACTAATTTTTTGTACTTCAGCTCCGCATCTCTGTCAACTCATAGCTTTGAGTGTGAATTGTAAAGCTTTTGTACGGGCACTGTCCTACCTTCAAGACAGAATATCGCATTGAGCTTTCTAATATAGATATTTACTTGTCAAACAAACGATTAAGCTCTAGGAAATAGTCCAGGACGTGAACGAGCGCGTTAGTGTACTTATCACCACAAGACGTCATGAGTGAGTCGAAAGCCTTTGTCTCTGAATGGGGTGGGATAGACAGGATATATAAGATGTTAGAGCTTGAGGGTACTATGGTCTGTAAATAAAGACAAGCGTTTCCTGCTTAGTGAGCATCGTGACACGATTAATCACAACTTCGCCATAAATCCCCGTCGAACTAAATGAAGCCTTGCAGAATTTCGCAGAATATCCTTTAGAATTAGAGAAGCCCTTGACAGAAACGGCGCCAAAGGCTACATGGATGCTGGGGGAGAAGGGCTGAGAAGACTTTGGGCAATATTAGACTTTAACAGAGTGAATTAGTTGGGCAAAAAATCTAAGTTTAGAGAGATTCTTGGTGAGATTATTACCACTGCGTCACAGCACCTCAATCCTCTTGGATGTCAGGAATAGGAGAATCACGGAGCAGAGCACCGGAATTAAGGGAAATTAATTTGATTATTCGGGCATTCGTTAAGTCCATCTAAGAGGGCAGCTCGTTTAGGTGGATTTGGAAGTAAAGGGATCAACGACTCAGGTCATGCCCGTGTGGGTACTGGTAAGTAATTGAGACTGTTATCGCTTGGGAATCACGATATCAGGTTCAAATGGTGATCAATATCGAAGTCTAAAATAAGCAGAAGGTTGTCTAGCCTTTCTTCTATCGACTACTATGCTCTATATACATCCTATGCTATTACCCTGAGCGGCGATCCGGTGTTCCATAACTGGTGGTATGATGACGCTCGTACCTCGTGTCCAGCTCCCGATTATCTGCGCTTCAGGATCCTCAGCCGGCGGGTAAAAGGATCAAATCTAATATTCCATATATCCCTGGCTGTTATGCAAGTCTTAGCCGAGAAGGAAGGTTTTTAAAGACCAAGTTCTCCGTACAATTCTCATTCGTATTCCAGTGCCAAGAGTTCGCGTGCTAAGTTCAATTTCCAGAGCCAGACTTGATGCGAATAAGTTGGGAGGTGTGTTGTCATTTAAGTTTCAGCTTGGAAAATACATTGGTGCCATTGACCCTGGTCTCTCTGATAGATTCGGTAGGTTGGAATGTTATCAATAAGTTGAATAAGGTGATCTTTGTAGCCTATTCACCAAGAAGAAAGGTCAGTGACGGCAATGTCGTAGGAAGAGAGACCTTACATCCTGCCGGTGTCATCTGGCCGAATCGACTTGTGGGGTATACCTCGCCGTTAGGACCCAGAGGATCGCCATATTTCGCTTCTTTCAAATCACAAGTTGCTTGTAAAAATCCGAGGTTCATCTCGGGAAATTCTACACCATTTCTACACTTGAAAAGTGCTTCTCCTTGCGCAAAAGGGACCAGAAACAGAAGGCCCGCCAATGCAACCGTGGAAGCAGCGCTAAGAAACTTCAATTGGAGAATATCGTCTCCCGGAACTGGGTCCTGTACTAGAAACAGCAAGCAAATCGATTTTATTGTAAGGACTCAATAGATGATCGATGACAAGATATCAAAGCGTTGTTGATGAAAATTTGTTGAGAGTTTACAGTGCCAATGTTTCTGTCAATGGAGTCAAAGAAAAGTTGGTTGACTATCCAGGTGATGCAAACTGTAGACAAAGACTTTGTAATTATATATTTAAGAAAATCTACTCTTCGCATATCAATTTTTACCCTTTGAACTAATTCATGCTGTAATACGCGTGTTCAATTCCATGGCAAGCTTTGCCAAGTGGCTAATAGAGCCGAGTCCTGCATAAAATTCATATATTTCAATGGATATTTGACTCATGCAATCTGAATTTCACCATTGGTAGTGATTAGTTTTCTATCTGCTGGGAAATAGACTTGGTCTATCTATCTTCTGGGTTTTAGCAAATTCAGTATCTCTCGGCCGTGTCCTCAACTCTTGCTGCAGAGCTGCGATCAAGCATCACTCACCTCCTCGTTTGGATGAGGATTCCAAAACGCCCTCGCCGTCACTTCCTTATTCAACTCTCAAGAAGCCAGAAAGACAAAATTTTTAACTTCAAGTGGTGCCGGTATCATGGCGAAGTATCTCTGCATATCTGGGTTAGCCAAGAAGAATCTTATCCAAAACGAGGTTGAAGGTGAATACAAGCAATCTAAAGGAGGGAAAGACTGAACACCTGTACACAGTTTCCCCTCCGAATCTGGGAGTGAAATTTCCTCCCAGAGCCAAGTTCAGTCAAATGTCGCAATATCAAAAATGGTGGCCCACGAGGCAATTATTCATAATACTCCACCGCATCAATTTTCACCCCCAACGAGATAGACTCCTCCCTCAACCTCATCAAGTCTACAAGTACAAACTAGTTCATACTCATCCCAATGACCACGCTTCTTGTCGACTTTTTCTGGCCCCAGCTGGTCACCAAATACACACCCACGCCGATATTTACACCCAACGGAGGAAACAAAGCGTGGCGCACAAATCTGGGAGACAGTTCTTTGGATGGACGTGAGAGTGTTCAGGACAAATTGGCAAGATGATGCGAAGAAAGGCTATAACCTCGAGGGGCGTGAGATTCCGAATTTTGGCAAGGATTTTTACGAATCTTCGCTTGCAAGAATGCAGTTGACACAATAAACACAAGCCAACGATGGAAGGTGTTGTGGCCCGCCTCCTGGTGGTGTTCTCCGATATAGTTGGAGTAGCCTGGGCACCTACTCCACTTTGGAAGGAGACTCCTCAGACCTTATTTCGCGCGGAGAAAAGTTGAAAGATGATGGAGGCTTGTCTGGATAACTCAGGGTTTTTGAGAGGCTCCCCTGGGTAGGTATTCACGGATAAGGATTGACTTGGGGTGAAGAAAAAGCCACCATAACTTCGCAGTGGTACTTGCAAATGAAATCCGAGGCATGAGTGCCCTTCCCTTGCGTTGAATCATCTATTCTGTTCTTTTCTCTGATATTGTATAATAGCTAGATACCTGCATTCGCAATTAAAATCTGTTGCAATAAAATTGCTTTTCATTTTACACTCAAAGCCGTGTGTTGACAGAGATGCGGAGCTGAAGTACAGAAAATTGGTTGCGTGGGGGACAGACAACTTTTATTACCCTTAAAATTTATTTACTTGAGAGTAAAATAAGCAAGTAGACGTAGTTATTGACCTTCAAAATTATCGCCCATCCTCGACCGTTGACTGCATTGGACATGCTGATCCTCTCTTCGTACAGGTCAATCACAACTAGCTCGTGGTATACTCCCCATCATAACGTTCCTATACATATCCCCAAACTAGTACTCATGTGATGGTACAGAGGGAGAGTCCCTCTTCACTTTTTTGTCACTCCTCTCCATCAACCAATCAATGACTATTTGCGGGCTTATGGTAGATTTGGAAATCGGCAAAACCGTTAGGCTCTACTGACTTGTGAGAAACCAATAAAATCCACGCACTGCCTTTGTAGCCTCCTTTCCACTCCTTCCTGAAGTCCGTGTTATAATACTAGATAAGTGTGGATAGACTTTGGTTGCTGTAAAGCAGCTTAACCGAAATTAGTAGTGGTATTTTGGGGACTTAAGAGTGCCCTGTGCTCATCGAAAATAGAAGTCCTCCGGGCTCATGAACGGAAATCGTAGTCTTGGCGTCCTGAAACGTTCGTAAAATGAATCCACCTCAAAGATTTCAGATCCACCATGTTACAGGGCGAGAGGGTATACAAGATAGAAGTCAGGGGACAAGATATAAACAAGATACGTACGATGGAATGTAGACAAGATATAATGCTGAGAAGATACGAAAATCTAACAATATATTGCACTCCTTCTAAAAATTTGAACAAGCAATTCTTTGAAGACGAACATGACGGCGAGGGCGAGGGTGTTTGGGATTCCTCATCCAAAATAGGAGCGAATTGATGCTCAATCTCAGCTCTACAGCAAAAGCTGGGGACACGGCCGAGAGATGCTGAACTTGCTAAATCCCAGAAGATAGATAGGCCAAGTCTATTACCAAGCTGATGGAAAATCACTCACGTTCAATGGTGAAATTCAGATGGCATGAGTCAAATAACTATTCAAATGTATGTCTTTTATGCAGGACTTGGCAAAGCTTATCATGGAATTGGACACACGAATTTCGGCGAAAATTATTTCAAAGGGTAAAATTTGATTTGCTAAGAATAGAGTCCTCAAATATATAAATACAAAGTCTTTGCTAACAGCTTGCATCACCCAGATAATCGCGAAACCTTCCTTTGACTTCATCGACAGAAATATTGGCACTGAAAACTATCAACACATCTCCATCGTAAACACTTTGATATCTTATCATCGATCATCCATTAAGCCTCTCCCATAATATCGATTGGCTTGCTATTCCGAGTGCAGAGTCCTGTTCCTTGAGACGGTATTCTCGAAATGAAGTTTCTGAGCGCTGCTTCCTTGGCCGCATTTTCTGGTCTTCAACTGTTAGCGGCAGCTTTTGGACCTAATGCACACTTCTTATGCAGTCAGGATCATAAAATATATATATCAGAAATTCATCAACAGGAAAACAGAAAGTATTATACGGCTGCGGAAACTAATGAGCCTAGGGGGCCGAATGGGGAGCAATACTCAGCACACCGATTTACCCGGGAAGGACTTAATGGAGGTTAGTTTCCCTTCCTATGACCTTGCCATCACTAAAACTTCATGTCTGTGACCAGAAACCATTCGCTACTTGATCCAACCAGCTATGGAATACCCCCACAACCGAGTTTTTGATCAAATCGAGGGAGATTGGCGACCCTGTTCGTACCATGAAAGCTAATGACAGTCGATAAATCAGCGTAGGGGTTTGTTTCAAGGCAAGTACTGGTACTCGAATCTCGTGAGCAACTCCTTCACAACAGGATACAAATATGAACACCGTCTGCTAATGCCATTTCCTTCTTTTCTAGGGCCAGCTAATCTCTCAAAGCACTCTTCTCGTCTCTTATTGCCTTCCGGATCGGTGCATCCCATAAAGTCGGGGAAAAATACTGAGAGCTTAGCTCAGTTTCGGTGGTGCATTTCCATGATGGGAACTTCAATGCGATATTACTAATAATTCTAGACAGGATAGTTTTGTTTATTTTGGCTTATCGTGGTAGGCAAGCTACACCTCCGCACTCCCACATGAGCTTGGGCACGAGTGAGTTCAGAGTACATAAGTTTAACTACCATAAATTAAAAATGCCTGGTCTCACTTCCGTTACCGGAATCATGCCCGAATGTATTTATGTGTTGAATGAGGACGAGTTCGGCAGCTCCGGGAAAATACAAGAAAAAACTTGCATGCCAAATCTCGCATTACAGAAGAAAAGTACAAAAATCTCTCTTGGGTCCTGATACCTCGACCATCAAGTGCCATAGCCTCATGTTATATAGATTATTCTTTTAACCATTATCAATGGCTCCCAGGTCACAGAATGACTGGCATTGTCACCCCTGCACTGCCTCAACTTTTCACGGCAAATATTCCACTGCCCTGGACGTAATCCTTCAATATATGCTATCCATTTGATCCATGTTGTGCTGGTAATAGCCAGAGTTAAGATGCACAAGGGTAATGATCACTGAGGGTGAAGGGAGAACTTTCCGTGCGGTTCCATGATGAGTAGAGGAATAATGGAGCACTGTATGGAAATTGTGTCTAAATGATACCACCAGATGGGGGATACTAGAATATTAACTGGTGTTGAGTTAAAAATAATTGGTCAAAAATAATTTTCTTGCACCTGAACATGGAGTTATTATATGGTGTTGTTAGAATGTAGAATAATTGGGGCTATCAAGTGGGACACGTTGCTAATATACACGTGACTGAAAATTCTGTACTTAGTTTCACTTCGGTAGTTGAATCAATGCGTCCTACTGTTACGGGCTGTGCCCGGATTGGGACTGGTCACTAGGACCAACCCGGCTAGATCTTTAAGCGCCAACGAAGCAGCGCTTACAGACACGCGAAAGGTTGCATGGGGAAGAATGCGAGGATACGCACAAAGAGGGATCTAAGTGTTGCACAAGGATAATTGCAAGGTTGCGCATGAGGAAGGACCCAAGGGAGTACGTACTAAGGGGGGGAGGATGTCACAGGAAAGAGGGTAGCCGGGGAGAATGGAGTATTCTCAGGTAGGTTAGGAGGGGAGCTTAAACGCGACGCTGAGGAGGACATAAAGGACAGGAGCCGTCGTAGGCAGATTAGCTTCCTTAGGAAAAATTATCAATTCCTATTGAGTTAACGTCTTTCAAGTACTTCTGAATTCTTTAAACCCTTTACACCTACAACCTCAATGACTGAGGGATCCATCCATCCATCCATCCATCCATTGTTCTAGTTAAACGTCCTATGCGGTATCTAAATACAGAACCATGAAGACGGTAAGCCATGTTAAGAAGGGAAAAAGCTTTCAACAAACAAAACCCGATGTCCTGCCACTCTGAACCGACCTGGCTTAATGCTGAGGACCTTCCTTTCAAACCATAAATTTATAAACTTTCCCCAGAATTCGTTAACTTCCCCCTCAATCAGACTAACGTTACGAAAAATTAAAGAGAGAAGGTACCTCCTCACTCGGCGTTGATCTTCAAAGTGTTCGAAGAGTTGGCCCCGATGGTGCTGCTGTCGTCGGGATGGTTAGTGCCGCTGGGGCTTCGACTACCTCACGTGGTCGTCCCGGCCCTCTTTTACATCCTTCTGCCTTTTTACTGGTGACCAAAGTGAATCCCTGATCATCAGACGTCCCGACTGTTCGCATTGGTGCTATGGCAGGTTTTTCGTTCCAAATATCTGCCGTTCTTGACAAAAGCTCCATCCGAGCCTTCTCCACACTTCCCTTGTAGACCTGGTAGGTCCGACACGCTGCTTTCTGCCACGAACGGTGCTCTTTGCCGCAGTTCGCACAAGAAACCCTTTTCCTCGGACAGTCCCGAGATTGGTGAGCGCCTGCGCACTCACCACACCTAGCTGCCTTTCCACACGACGCTTGTGTGTGTTCCCACTGGCTGCAGTTGTAACACTGCTTTGGCTAGGCCCGTGGTTACCACACCTGTGCGGTGAAGAGCATGGAATTAATGACAAGGCCCCTTCGAACTACCTCCGGTTGCATTGCCTCTGATGGGAGGCTGACCACAATTGATCCTCGATTGCGACCGTTTTTCTTCGATCGCTGGTGCTCCTTTCCATCATGTAGCCACCTGATTCGATTAATCACTAGGCTATTGAAATGTATAACCCACTACTTAGTTCGTGGACTTTATTGGTAAAGGGAAGCTTATGCAATAATGAAGGATAAAAGGATGTCAATTCGACTACTCTATTAAACACAGGTACCAGACTCCTTTTAACCCCAATAGATAGCCCGTGCGGGATCTCCTATTAACAGCAGTAAACAACGCTAGCACAGGGTATACGCAATCTCCGTTCGCCAAACACCAGTCGGTCGGGACTACTAATTATCGAGCCCAGTAGGATCGACATAGTGTATCCCAACCCAGAAATCATAGAAAACTCAACAACCAAACCCTTCATCAATTACTTCCATTAAGCATCACCTGACTCATCTCTGAACTCCATAATTTCAACACTCCCCCACAGAGCAAGTCACGGTGACTCTAGTTTTACTACATAACAACTCCTAGCTGTGATTTAAAATTTTCGAAATTAATCCTTAACAGGGGCTTTGTCATACCATCTGCGACCATATCTGTAGTAGGGATATATGCAACATCAAGTTTTCCTCTCTCCGCTAGATCTCTGGTATGATGATAACAGATGTCGATGTGCTTCGATCGCTCGTGAAGATGGGGGTTTTTGACAGTAGCGAGCGCCCCTTGATTATCGCCTAGCATATGAAATTTCTGAGAATTTAGTCCAATATAGTCAGGGCATCCCAAGTCTCTGAATATTTGGGCAATCCACTGACCTTGTTTTGCACAAGCAGAGAGTGCTACGTATTCAGATTCATAAGTGGATGTGGCTACTGATCGCTGTTTTTTACTAGACCAGGAGATAGGGCCACCATAAAACATTGCTACACTTCCAGATACACTTTTTAGGTCAGATTTGTCACTTGCCCAGTCGGCATCGGAGTAAACAACGAAATGTTTATGCGCTCCCCCAGGTCCGTAACGCAGTTTCTGGGTGACAGTTGATCGCAGGTAGCGAAACAATTCTTTTAGCACATGACCATGATGTTCTACTGGATCAATCATAAATTGAGATAGCTTTTCAAGAACGAAAGCAATATCCGGTCGCGTTAACACCATAGCGAACATTAAGCTTCCGATGCCTTGTTGATATTCTGTGACATCGATTCTCTTGTCCTCTTTACTTGCGGGACGAATTAACTCATAGTCGGATGCTGGAATTTTTTTCGCTTTAAATTTGTCTGCTGTCATTCCAAATCTTTCAAGCACTGACCTCAAATATTGCTCTTGATCAATCAAGATAGTTCGTTCTGTACGCTTTCTCGTTACCCTCATTCCAAGGATCTTTTCAATCTCCCCCAGATTCTTGGCATTGAAACGAGAAGAGAGCTTACTAAAGAACCAGTCTAGCTCATCAGTGGACTTAGCAGCTGCAGCAATATTGTCAACGTATACAAGTAACTCAATCTGCCTCTCTTTTTGGATGAATAAGCATGGATCTGCAAGGCTTTGAACAAATCCCCATTGTACTAGATGGGTTTTGCAGAGCATGTTCCAGTCCCTTGCAGCTTGCTTAAGTCCATATAAGCTGCGCAATGCCTGTAAAGCATGACCCTTCGTTACCGGTACACCTTTAGGTGGAGATAGATATATTTTTTCTTTTAAATGAGATCCCGTGAATGCGTTCTTTATATCGTAGTGGTTGCACTCTAAATTTTCTTTTGCCACCCTGGCAAGAAAGATGCAAAGAGTGTCCATTCGAACAGTTGGGGCAAAAGTTTCTGTGTAATCTTTACCTTGAATCTGGCTGAATCCACGGGCCACTAATCTTGCCTTGAATCTTTCAACAGATCCATCCGTATTTAATTTAATAGTGAAAACCCATTTGGTAGAAACCATATTTGCATCAGACGGTGGAACAACTTCCTTCCAAGTACCATTTTGACCTAGGCTAGCTATCTCTTGCGCAATTGCTAACTTCCACTCTTTGCTGTAATTTGGGTCATTAACAGCCTGAGAATATGTATTTGGTATATTGATACCAGCAATAATTTCAGCTGGATATGAATACTCCAATAAATTTAGCTCATCATTTTCCTCAAGGACTTTGGCAGCAAATGCCCTTGCAATCTTTTTATGCCGTTCTTCATCTTCATCCATCAGATTATCGCTTTCATTTTTCTTACGTTTTGATCTTGTGAAATAGCGGTGCTGTCCAGGACAAGTCTCAGTATTTAATAAGGACCTTGTGGATGGTGGAAACGGGTCATCAATAAACATATGGTCCAGGTCTGGGTCAGTAAATTCTCTGGTATTCGTAGCTTTAGATTGGGATGGATTCAGTAAATGGCCACACTTTGCTGGCTTCTCGGATTTTGGATTTACTTCATTTGTCTGTGTTGGTGCAATTTTTGGTTCGTGAGAGACGTCTGATAATATCTGCTGATTGCTGTCAGTAACATCGAAATCATTTGAAGATTTTTGATCCGAGATTATTTGATCTGTTGTAGTAGGAAATTCAATTTGGGATACGCGAGGTTCCTGACCGATCAAATCGTTGGCTTCTAGTTGCGCAATAGGGCTTTCACATGCCTCTACATTGACAACAGATTGGATTGTTATTGGATGACCAATAAATTT